AGCGAAAAAATCAAATTCGCTTAAACTTTTTTCCCAGACTGTATATATATATATCCGATCAAGCTTTTATATAAATTACAAACGAACAAATAATCAACAATTATGGGTAAGTTTTTGCTGAGAAAATAAACTAACTGTTTATATTTATATTCTGATTAGATTTCATAAGCAATCAACTTGAAAAAAGGGCGGAAAAACAAACTGGTTTGGATCTTAATGATGATGGATATGTTGGAGGACAAGGTAAATACTTTACGAATATTTTTATTATATCTTATAATATCATTCTTTATTATTCCTTAGGTATAGAGGGTAAAATAGAAGGGGCAACTCATATTGATCTTAATCGTGATAACATCATTGGTCGTCCTCTAGACCGTATTCCTGGTGATGGTGTACTTTAAACAAATTATGATAATGGTTCTTACTAATGTTAATGATTATAAATTAACTTGGTTCTAAAGACAAATCCGTGATTTTTCGTAGTATTTCTTATTTTATTATATTTTATTTCTTGTAAATCTAATATTTCTCTTTTCGTATAACTAAAGATAATAAATTCGGTTAAGAATAAAATTTTATATTAATTCTGTCATATGGATGCCTGTAAATAGAAGAAAATAAAGACTAAATAATTAGCTAAAAAGCATTTGAAACTCATATTCTAAATATAAACCAGTTTATCGTATTGATTCATGTGTTAAAAAAGGTGTTGTCAAGAAGTCCGGAATAGAAAATCTAGAAAGTTTTTACTTCATGTACTCTCTTACAAACTGCATAATGTATAGTGCGAAAAAATCTTACATACAAGTTTCTATCAGGAACTTAAATATTATTAGATAAAGTTTAATAATGAGTTTAACAATATCATTGTGTTTATTTATTTGGACAATACAAAAGTTAGTACAATAAGGATCAATTTATACTTAAAGAGAGTTAATTATCAATTCAAGTATTTTAATCTAAGAAGATTCACCGGAACACATAAGACACGAATGACACACTACTTGATCGAAAAGTATACAGTTCATTCATTCTGATATCAATGTTGAAAATCGTCGAAAAAATTAAACCTCTAACTGATATTTCTTTTGATACTTTATCGAGCTCAATTCTCATATTTATATCCTCATTCCTTCTTAAATAATAAATATATATATTATAAATTTATTATTAAACAATGAGATAAACAAAATTTCATGCTGTTTAAATAGATAGAAGATTACAAACAGTGTTACAATAAGTCTGATAATTTTCAAAATAGTTTGTTATTCAACAACATAATTAGAAAAACGAAAATGTTCATTTACATAAAATAATATCTTTAATATTCTTACGAAAAGTTTTAGATATAAAAATATTTGTATAACATCCAATACAAATTGAGATATAATTAATAAAAACAGCTGTAGTTTTTAAAAAAAGTTCAAATTGTGTCTGAAGTGAACTTTTAATATAATATTGAGTAATTTGTTGATACATATTGTTTGCAGATAACATAGAACTAAAAATAACATATGCAGCTATATCCATAAATAATATTAAACAAAATTGTCGATCTTTCGAATAACTCGATTGTAATTGTTTTTTTGTAGTTCTTCTAATAGAACGTATTCTTCGAATATTTCTTAGTGCTAATAATCCAAATATAATCATTAATAAAGGTATTAATAATGCTTTGACTATAAGTGAATAATAAGAATGTAATATCAGATCTGCTCCAGGTGGTAAATTACAGACAAAATTATTTGGTGTAACTTGTGTAATAACTGCTGAAGATAATATATGACTATGAAATAATATCCAAAATATGGTTATAATAATAATACTCATATATGCAAAACGACGAGTACTTCGTTGTCTTGTTTTAACATTTACAGAAGTAACTAACATTCGATCAATCGAAGCTAAAACTAAATAAGATGAACTAAGAATATCGATTAGAATTGCCATATATAAATTATAACGACAAAAAGCTAAATTATATGTAGAAGGAGAAACACCATAACCAGCTGATAATGTTACTGTTAATATAGATGAGTATATTAAAGTAAGATTGGCAATATTATATGAAATAAAATAAATTGAACATGGATTTTTTCGTAAAGATTTTTTTGTGAATACAATTAAACTTAATATGCAACTAATACTACCAATACATATTAAAATTGGAGCACCTATTTGATATAAATATTTAGTTATTGATTTTAATAATGAAATATAATTTGTTGAAGAAGATTGTGAAGACATCGTTAGAATATCTATAAAAAAAAATAGAAACTCTCATTAATAAATATATTGTTTGCAGAAAGAAATTTACTTCTAACTGTTCTCTTTTCAGAGCAATTATATATATGTGTCAGATAGAATTAAGGTTTAGGCAAAATTAAACTTGATTTTAAAATGATTCTATGACCATATGATTTTAAAAAATTTTCGAAAAATAATTCAGTTGTTATTATTATTTTAAATTTTTCAAAGTTGTAAAGTTCTTAAGTTGAATTCAATGAAAAATAAATTTAATTTTAGAAAGATGTAGAGTTCGCAAGTAATATTTGTCGCAGATAAGTTTGGAATTTAGTTGAGTTTGGAATACGTTTAAAATTAATAAAATAATTTTTTTTTCGAAGTTTTTGTGGTATTTTATAGCTGTAAGCTATTTATAAATAAAATTAGAAGGAGGTTAGTTTTAATTTTATAAAATTATCATATTTCCGCTAATAATAAATTGTAGGTAAATTTTAAGAAGAATTTTTATGATAACAGAGTATTTCAGATTACGTAGAATTGATTTTGTTAGTGTTTCGTTTTTAAATATATTAACTATTTTTTTTGATAATGAGGACATGGGGGCATTGACTATTTGCTAGAAAA